TGGGCGCGGGCTCAGGCCGGGAAGGGCTGTGGGGTGGTGGCCTGTAGCCCCCTGACTACTCCCACCTCACCCTCAGGGCCTCCACGACCAGTTACTGAACAGCAACCTGGATCCCAGCGAGGTGGAAAAGGCTAAAGAAGGGCAGGTACAGAGGGTGGGCCCGGGGCTGGAGTTTGGGCAGAAGGCTGGTGAGGCTGGCTCAGCACGCTCACTCCTTTCCCGCAGAAGGCAGATTTCCCGGTGGGGATCCCCGAGTGTGGCACCGATGCTCTCCGGTTTGGACTGTGTGCCTACACATCCCAGGGTACGGCTCCCCAAACCTGTCTCAGCTGCATTGTTCCTCCTTCCCTGAGGCACAGCTCTCTCCTCTGCCCTGGGCGTGAGCTGGGAGGGAGAATGGTGTGGACTCACACTTCACCTCCACCCAGGCCGTGACATCAACCTGGATGTGAACCGGATATTGGGATACCGCCATTTCTGCAACAAGCTCTGGAACGCCACCAAGTTTGCCCTCCGTGGCCTTGGGAAGGATTTTGTGCCCTCACCCACCTCTGAGGTGAGGGCCTGGTAGGCGCGAGATGGGCGGCACCCACACAGGTTGCATCCTTGCCATCAAGCACGGCCCATGCTGTTTCAAGATTGTAGCCACAGAGTTAGGAAGCCCGGCTCCTGCCCGCAAGGAGCCTCTGTCTAGCTGAGGGGACAGAAGGATATAGGGACAGATTGTCATCAGGAGAGCCTCAGGCACTGTGGTCCTCCCACAGGTGGAGGGGGCCCTGCCTCTTCTCCCCCAGGCACTGGGCACATGGTGGTTGCTTTGGACCCATCAGGCTCCTGGAATGCAGATTTTCCCATGGTTCCCATTCCCATGGGGTTCTGGCTCCCCTCCGCCTGGGCATATGGTGGCCCCCCACCTGATATGGTGCTTCCCCCCAAGCCTGGAGGCCACGGGAGCCTGGTGGACCGCTGGATCCGCAGCCGGCTGACTGAAGCTGTGAGGCTCAGCAACCAGGGTTTCCAGGCCTATGACTTCCCAGCTGTCACCACCGCCCAGTACAGCTTCTGGCTCTACGAGCTCTGTGATGTGTACCTGGTGAGGAGGGGCTGAGGGGCCGGGGTGCACAGAGCCCTGGGTTGGCATGAGACCTGAGCCAGCCTGTCGCCCTCCCCGTCCTCAGCAGTTCAGCGAGGGCTGGAAGCTAGGCTTCCCCAGCCCTGAGCCCTGAGCCCTGTGCCTCCCCCTCCCCAGGAGTGCCTGAAGCCTGTGCTGAATGGGGTGGACCAGGTGGTGGCCGAGCACGCCCGCCAGACCCTCTACACCTGCCTGGACGTCGGCCTGAGGCTGCTCTCGCCCTTCATGCCCTTTGTGACCGAGGAGCTGTTCCAGAGGCTGCCCCGGCGGATGGCACAAGCTCCCCCTAGCCTCTGCGTTACCTCCTACCCGGAGCCCTCGGAGGTACGGGGTGTGGCCTGGCGCGGGGCTCCGGGTAGCTGTGCAGAGCCAGCCCCCAGCTTCCCTTACTGCCTCCTCTACCCCACAGTGCTCCTGGAAGGACCCTGAGGCGGAAGGCGCCTTCGAGCTGGCCCTGAGCGTCACTCGAGCCGTGCGCTCCCTGCGTGCCGACTACAACCTCACCCGGATCCGGCCCGACTGTGAGCCTCAGGCCCCCGCGTTCCCCATCCCCTCAGCCCACTCTGGGACCAGTGTCCAGTGTGGCTGTCTTGTCTCCTTTCTCCCTCCCACGCAGGTTTCCTGGAAGTGGCTGATGAGGCCACAGGCGCCCTGGCGTCAGCAGTGTCGGGCTATGTGCAGACGCTGGCCAGCGCGGGTATAGTGGCTGTCCTGGCGCTGGGGGCTTCTGCACCCCAGGGCTGCGCTGTGGCGCTGGCTTCTGACCGCTGCTCTGTCCACCTGCAGCTGCAGGGGCTGGTAGACCCGGCCCGGGAGCTGGGCAAACTGCAGGCCAAGCGCAGTGAGGCGCAGCGGCAGGCCCAGCGTCTGCGGGAACGCCGTGCTGCCTCGGGCTACACTGTCAAGGTGCCCCTCAAAGTCCAGGAGGCAGATGAAGCCAAGGTGTGTGGTGTGGGTGGGCGTTTCCTTCCCCATATCTCACCCCATCACTCCCCCCACCATCAAACCCCCTCCTGCACCTGCTCTGCCGGGCCCCAGGCAATCCATGGAGGAGCAGGTGGGACCACGTAATTCCCGCTCTTACACATGAAGAACAGCCAGGGCAGGGGCACAGTCCAGGGTCACACAGCAAGTTGAAGATGGAAGCAGACCATCCATCCATCCTTCCTCCCAGTCAGACCCTTCGTGCACCATCCGCTTCCCAGAACTTGGTATCTACATGCCGGGGGGCTGGGATTGGGATTGACCCAATACAGTCAGGAAGCTTAGCAGATCACCTGGGACCCCTGCAGGGAGGAGCCATGGGGTGAACCACAGGGACAAAAAGAGAAACATGAGTGGAGGCTAGGATTTACAGAGCCTTGGCGGCTGAGCAGGGTTGTCTCACGTGATTGTCCCAGTAGCGCGGTTGTCTCATGTGATTGTCCCAGTAGCGCTCTCATGGCAGGGCAGTATTACCAACACCATTTTCCAGATGAAGGCTAAGAGCCCCTCAGAGCCTCTGTTCCTAACCACTGTGCTCTGCTTCCCCAGTCATTGGCTGGGGCTGAGCCACTGGGTGGCACACATGAGCTCTGAAGCCCCTTTGTCTTTGGGAATGGACCACTCTGGGAAAAGACAGGACCGAGGAGACCAGTAATGGTGGAAGAGAACAGGGAGGTGGGAATTAGGGGGAAGCAGGCTTGCCAAGCACACAGTTCCCCCAGACTACTCCCTGCCCGTGGTCCTCACCCATCTTTCCAACTCTGACCCCTCTGCTCTTTTTTTTTTAATATATAAATTTATTTATTTATTTTTGGCTGCGTTGGGTCTTCGTTGCTGCACGTGGGCTTTCTCTAGTTGCCGCGAGTGGGGGCTATTCTTGGTTGCGGCACGCGGCCTTCTCATCGCAGTGGCTTCTCTTGTTGCAGAGCTCGGGCTCTAGGCATGCGGGCTTCAGTAGTTGTGGCACGTGGGCTCAGTAGTTGTGGCACGTGGGCTCAGTAGTTGTGGCTCATGGGCTCTAGAACGCACGCTCAGTAGTTGTGGCACACGGGCTTAGTTGCTCCACACCATGTGGGATCTTCCCAGACCAGGGGTCGAACCCGTGTCCCTTGCATTGGCAAGTGGATTCTTAACCACTGAGCCACCAGGGAAGTCCCTGACCTCTCTGTTCCTGTGGGCCTTTGGGGTTCTCTTCTCTTGTCCCTAGGTCTCACCACTCACCCCCTTTTCCACCCTCAGCTCCAGCAGACAGAAGCAGAGCTCAGGAAGGTCGATGAGGCCATCTCCGTATTTCAGAAGATGCTGTGATACACCCAACTCCAACCCTCGTAACTCCCAGTGTTCCACCATGGGGATGGCAGCAATAAAATATTTTGTTCCACCATGGTGATGGCAGCAATAAATATTTTGCCACAAAACCATCTCTTGGCTGTGTGTGGTGGGGCTGGGGACGGGGTGCTGAGGGGCTGGGTTCCTGAATCCTCAGAGGTGCCAACGTGAACAGGAGGGCAGCAGGCTGGGCGTGAGGCACTGGGTCCTTGCGGGTAGAGAGGTGCGTCTCTCTGGGTCTGGCCCTGGCCCTGAGCCAGGCCTGAGTCACGCTGCTAGCTCCCCCCCCCCTCCCTGC